GAGTATTCAGCTGCAAAGAAGAAGTGTAAGATGAGAAACTGTTCAGACTATCAAAGTACTCTACCGCTTAAGACTGTGAAACAGAGAAGCCATGATTTAAGAACCGAAATCAGTTATTGGAACTACTTTGTGATGCATTTATCCGTCTGTAGTATTGTTTCATTTATCGTTATTTTTTATTGAACTTTGCTTCTTCATTTAAATTTTGTAATCGGATGGTTATTTTTTAAGAATATTTTGATTTCGTTCATTACTGTTAGTATTTTGTTAATGTATGAAGTCTTTTAATAATTTTATAATTTTTCTTTGAACATTGTATGATCATCATTCAAATGATATCATCACTTATATATTAAATACTATACAAACATCATTAGCTTATAATCAAATTCTAATGTAGTCTATATTATTTATTTCTAAATGGAAATTTGATTTATTTGTAACAAATTATATATACTTATAAGAATATATACATCCAAAAATATCAATAACTACTAACCGAAAACAAAGTCATCAATTATCACGTATATGGATAATATATTAAAACTTATGTCTTTTAACAGTATTACTTACTTTACTTAACTATATTTATCCTTTTAAGTTTGGCAATTTGTAACTAAATTGATTCTTTCTCTAAATTTATTATCTATATTTATGGATTTAGATATATGAATTTTAAATGTAGAATATTTGTTCTCCTAATCATAAGGGATCACATTTAATTTGAATGTTATAACAAATAACTATTAATTCATATAAATTGATTCTTTCTCTATATTTATTATCTATAATTGTGGATTTAGATATATGAATTTAAATGTAGAATATTTGTTTTCCTATTCATAAGGGATCACCTTTAATTTGAATTTTATAACAAACAACTACTATTTATATAAATAAACTTTTCCGCTTCATCGCGTTCTTCGTGTTAACATTTACCTCTATTTGAATGTATGTTCACCTTCTTATGCAATGCATAGTTCAAAGAAAAATCGGCATGTAAACGAAAATTATGAGAACCAAACTACTAAAAAACAGAAGATCGCATCTACCAGTCAATCACAATCAGCAAAACCTATTTCTGGTGCTTTTGATATGATTTTTAGAGATTTAAGCAATTCAAATGATTTTGTGAGGAGTTCAAGTCGGATTACATCAGACATATCTACTTCATGTGAGTTTTTATTTATTTTTTGCTTTAATCTTAATTTTGTATACTTCACATTCTTTTAATAGTGTGTTGTTTTATTTATTTAA